TGGGCCTATGAAATATAAAAGGGCACAGAGAAAAGGGTCTCACTCCTTCCTCCAAAGTCCCATCACTGTTTTCTCTTTCCCACTCTCTTCTCATTTTGTATCCATAACCCAAATATACTATCTCAGTCATCTAACTCAGCTGTGAGACCAACTCAGCCTAGGACATAATTGAATATCGAGTTGTTAATTCTCTTCCATGTACTGCTGCTTCCTTTCTCCAGGAATATGTACACTTACTCTTCTGTCACTGGAGATGAAGGGATTTTGGATCATTTATTCAGGTGACATAGGGGTACAAAGGAAGGCAAGAGATGGAATTCTGTCCTGATTCATAATCTGAGTCCTTATCATGTTTTTCTCACTGTCATTAGGTAGAGAACACAAGAAATCTGACTTCTCAAGGCCTCCAAAATGAAAAGACCAGATGTGATTGGATATTATCACCATCAATCATCTTGGGTAAAATAGGGAAGGAAGGAAGGAAGGAAGGAAGGAAGGAAGGAAGGAAGGAAGGAAGGAAGGAAGGAAAGAAGGACAGCGTAAGCAAGAGTCTACTGCAGGCAAGTCCAAAAGAGCTTTCTATCTGCCTGGAGCATGTATTCATGGGAGAACAGAAAGGGACTGTATGTTTAGAGCATCAGTAGGAAATCAATAAACAAGCACAGGTAAGAAAGATCTGCTCAATTTGTATATATTGTTACCTTGAATAGAAAACAAAAGGACTATTTTTAAAAGAATTATTTATTTAATTTCATTTGTTCATTCATTTATTTTAATTTGACCACACACACACACACACACACACACCCACATACAGAGAGAGACAGAAAGAGACAGAGAGAGAGAGAGAGAGAGAGAGAGAGAGAGAGAGAGAGAGAGAGAGAGAGAGAGAGAGAGAGAGAGAGAGAGAGAGGGAAAGCGAGAAAGCAAGCCACCAGGTCTAGGACTCAAACCGTGGTCAGCCATGTGGGAGTGTCCCACGCCTTAACCACCATGCCACCTGCTGGTCCCCGAAAGGGCTATTTTTAAAAACTCTTCTGTTTTGTGAATTTTTATATTTAAATTTATTTACTTTACATTCATGCATTGTATATCATCGCAGCATATAAAATGAATCTGCCCATCCAGAATACACTGTACATTGGCTCAATCAAAGATACTACCATAGATACTATCTTCAAAAGATAATTTTTCATTTTGTGTTTCTTCTATGTTTTACTTCTTTTTTCCCCTTGATTCCCTCCCTCTTACCCTCCACCTTTGAGGCTTAAGCCTTTCATTCAATGCATTCTAAAATGTATAGATTGTGTGTGTGTGTGTGTGTCTGTGTGTGTGTGTGTGTGTGTGTGTGTGTGTGTACATTAGTCTGGCAAAGATGAGAAGGCTTCCCTAATCTTCTGATAAAAATTACCCAGGAACATTTATGCAAACTATCTTCACACTATGAGTGTACTCCCTCATGGGTCAAGTTGGCCATAAGAACACTAAGCTTGCAGAGTGGCTGTGAGGCTATGTGTGCTTAGCATACAGTGAGCACAGAATAAACCTTAGATAATGATGTGTCCTCACATTTCATGGACCCTTCTAGTACAGTCAGGGAACAATCCATTTCCCCTATTGGGGAAATTCTTGTCCTGAGCAGCCTCCGTTTCCCGCACTGTCCATTTCACATTGGACTAGAATCATACTGGCATTCCATTGGCCAGAGTTGTCCTGCATGGATGTCTGTTTACTCCTATGTACATAGGGCACAAAGAAGGAACCTGAGCCAATGATTTTAAATCGAGCGGTTTTCCATGGAAATCTAGAATCCCAGGCAACCACCGGTCCGAAAAAAAAAGTGGATAGAGCCAAGTGGCCACTGCCCCCTTGGCTAGAGTGTGCACTGTCAGTTAGCCAGAGCCCATCTGGCCTGCTCTACTCAGTGACAGGATCTGCTGGATCCTGCAGGCACAGCAATTTGTGGTCTCTGAACAACTGGAAACAAAGTATGCCAAGGAGAGGGTAGGTGCTTAATTGCTCCATGAAAAAAATATCCTACTCATTTTCACTCTTGCTATTTTCCCACCTAATCATATTAAGATATCTGAGTTACTGAGTACGGTGAGTCTCAGTCTGAAGCGTGAATTGAATGTGTGTATTAGAGTTAGAATAGTGTAAGTCACATTGTGGTAACAAACAACCAGTAACTCAGTGCCTTACAACAAGTTTTATTATTTGTTCTGACAAATTAAACTAGACACGCACTCAAGTAACATAAGGATGCATACATGAAGGCACAAGTAAGTCTACAATGTCACAAAAAAATATAACTCCTGGTGTTCCTCATAGCAAGTCATGTTTAGAGACTGGTCAACTTATATTAAACAACTCTGTTTTATAGGAGACATTAAAAGGTCCCAGCATCTAAAAGAGTAAAAGATAGAGATGCAATCATAACATCCCTTGGCAAAATGAATGATCATAAACTTAAAAGGGTCTGAAGGCTTATAAAGTACCTGAGGGATTAAAAAAGACCTTAAGCATTTTGGATGTAAATCGTTTTGCACATTCAGAAACAGGATGCCAATAGGCAGTGATCTAGCAAGGCCTCCTCATCTAGACTCCTAAGTCAAAAGGGAGCTGCATCCCAGATGTCCAATAGGCAGTGAGACAGAGGTAGCAGGTCTAGGGCGGAGAGAGGGATTTGGAAGCTGGAGTCTCTTGTCTCCAGCAGGAGCTGCAGGCAGGCAGGTAGGAGCCTGAGACAGTTCACTTCACATTCATAAGTCCCTCCCAGCCAGCTTTATCTCTCTCTATGTCTCTCTCTCTCTCTCTTTTTTTTTTTTTTTCGTCCTACCCAATGTAACATTTGTCACCTGGACTATTGCACAGGCCTCTTACTCACTGGTTTCTCTGTCAACACCATTGCCTCCCCCAGTCCCTCCATTACAGTCACTACATCCTTTTCGTAAAGTCCACACTATCTGAATATGCTTCTCTCTAGACCAGAAGCATTCTCTGGCTCCTAACCACCCACCATTTTGGGAATAGCCTCTAACCCTAACCTGCCATTTTCCCCCGATTGGGCCTCCTTTGCCCAGTCCCCTTCTGTTCCAGTCTCATCCTCTTCTGTTCCAGCCTCATGCTCTTCTGTTCCAGCAGTTCCCCCAGGATTCCTTCTTCTTTCACACATCATGCCTCTTCCACCAATTTGGTTCTGAAATGCTCAGCCTTCCCTCTCTGCCTCCTCATGGGTTGGTTCTTCCTCAGAGCTCCTCCAGCCCTTCCTTTCTGGGCACGTTTTTCACAGAGAGCTGCAAAACACAGCATGTGAACTCATATAGGTTCCACAGCTAGACTAGAAGCTACATGGAGGGGGAAGGCGGGCCTCTTTCCAGACTAGTTCCTTGTCACTTGTCTGTGACTTCCCCAGACCACAGCAGACAGCCTGGGTTTGGGTCGGAAGCTCTGGGCTCACAGTCAGGAATTCTGATTCTTCCATGATGTATACTCTAGGGCAAGCCCTTATAAGTCTCAGGGCCTCAGTTTCCTTGTTTCTCAACCTCAGGGCAGGGACACTTATTTTTTTGAACAAAAGTTTGATACACTGATGATTGACTGACCAGCCCTCCACTGTCTTTTCATGAGGCAGACTAAGGAGCTGAGTTCCTGTCCACAAGGAGCTGCAATCCACAGATCCTGATTTCCCAGTACTACATACTTACCACCATGCTACCCCAACTCTCCCAACTCTGCGTTTCATTTTTCAAGAAGCAAGCTACCTGGTGGACTGCAGGGCTGGTGCATGGAGATGGAAACGGAAGGGGCTGGGCAAGAGTTTTTCAGAGACAGCAGGGCTTCAGCAGCCTCCAACTTCCTCTGCCACTCTGAGTGGGCAGAAGCTTGGCCAGCAGCTTCGGCGGCCTGAAAAGGAAAGGTCGTGAGAGAACGGGGGCTGTGGAACCATACCTCCTCCACATCCAGTGACCGTCTCTCACTCCCAGTTCTCTCGAGTCCCCGTACCAACTCCTATGGCTTTCCGCTCTTCTCAACCCCTAAGTCCCACCCTTCCCCGGGTGCTGGACCCCACTCCTTTACCAGGACCTGTGGCCGGAATACAAGAGGGCCGACGGTGGCACAGGGCTGGAGGACCACAGTTGAGCATCTAGAAACCACGAGAGGAGAGTGCAGAAGATCAAAGCCAATGTCAGACACATATCACCAGTACACAGAGAGAGGGGCCCGATTTTGTAGCATGTAGCAGTTGGAATCCAGATT